TTATCTTATTCTGTAGGAAATATTTCCTTTATTGCCTCTCCAGAAATCCTGAGAAATAGGCAGATACTCAAAAAATTCTTTTTCTTTTCCGCTTATTTGAGGAGAAGTCTTGCAACTACCTCAGGCTGGTCTTGAACTCTTAGTTTTCCTGTTTCAGGCTCCCAAATACAGGGATTGCATATGTGTGCCACCACTCAGTCATGATTTTTAAATTATATTAATGGTTAGCATTAATGTGATTAAGGATGCACCGGGACAAGCACTTATGACCAACATTATTTCATCAAGCATTTTAGGAGAAAACTACTTTTATTATCCCTGATTTATGATAAACTAATTTGATTTAAGGTCAAATTTGATCTAAGGTCAACTGGCAAGTGGCAGAACATTTTCTGCAAGTTTTTGGCTCCAGGATTTCAGCTCTTAATCTGCATAGATGTACAAATAGATGGATGAAAAATACTTTTTATTCTGTGGCTCAAGAAGTAATCTTGAAGAGTCCACTCTTTTACAGAGATAATTATGACTCAAAATTATGAAATTATGATAGCTTGATAGCTCCTAACTGTTGTCTTTCTTCCTTTCTTTTTTCTTTTTTTGTTTTTTTGTTTTTTGTTTTTTTTGAAGACAGGGTTTTTCTGTGTAGTCTTGGTGCCTGTCCTGGATCTCCCTCTGTAGACCAGGCTGGCCTTGAACTCACAGAGATCTGCCTGCCTCTGCCTCCCAAGTGCTGGGATTAAAGGCGTGCACCACCACCACCCTGCTTGTCATTAACTTTTTTTTTTTTTTTTTTTTTTTTGGTTTTTCGAGACAGGGTTTCTCTGTGTAGCTTTGCGCCTTTCCTGGGACTCACTTGGTAGCCCAGGTTGGCCTCGAACTCATAGAGATCCGCCTGGCTCTGCCTCCCGAGTGCTGGGATTAAAGGATTAAAGGCGTGCGCCACCACCACCCGGCGTCATTAACTTTTAAATAGTCTTTTTTCCTTCGCTCCCTCTGTCCCTCCCTCCTTCCTTCCTATAATCCTTTTAAAGCTTTCAAGAAAAAAAATTTTGAACTCTGCACTAAAGAGTAAGCCAGCCCAGAATGATTGGGAAGGTAATTAACATCACATATGGTTCTTCTTATTTATTTGTAACTTTTCAAATATCAAGGGCCTACTGTGTGCTAGGAACCTTTTAAGGCAATGGACAGCTATACACAAAGTCCCAGTCCTCATGATTCTCACGCTTAGAGTTCACTTGCTCCTTAAAATAACCATATAAAGTAATGACGGCCATATAATAATGTGTGCCTTTACAGCGCTTATCTGTGCCAGGCACTTGGTTGGAAGCTCAGGTTGCATTAATGCATCTTATAGCAAATATGAGGTTTGTTCCTCTCAATTTACTGATGAGGAAACTGAGTCACAAAGAGGTAAAAGACTGGCTCTGGCTTTGAATCCTATACAGCAGGACTTTATTCGCAGTTAACCAAAAGGCATGTTTGGTTTTTACCTCATTATTATAACTCTTAAAAAGTGCGGCTGAGGTTGATCTCCATCCAGCTCTGATTCTCAAGTCTAAGAGTTTTGCGCTGTACCCCGGCGGCCTTATGGAATACATGAGAATGCATTGGAATATTTATTATTATTATTATTATTATTATTATTATTATTATTATTATTATTATTATTATTATTATTATTATTATTATTATTATTATTATTATTATTATTATTATTATTATTATTATTATTGTGGTTGTTGCCAACTTTCTCTTCCAAAGAATTCGAGCTGATTTCCAAGTCATTCCCGTCGATGTTTGAAGTGAACCTTCCCCGAAGTCCTGCACCTTCTCCAGTCAGGAGAAAGCTTAGGGCCCAGGCCCGGGTCATCTTAACCGGGGCATCCAGCAGATGGCGCCATCTTAGTAGCCACCAGCTGGCTGCCCGGTCCCCGGGGCTCCGTAAGCTTCCCTGCCCTCCCTCCCTGCCTTCTCTCTCCCCCTCCCCACGGAGCCCGGGCCCACGTGACCCCACGGCGGCCAATGGGCGAGCAGAGAGGGCGAGCTGGTCCCTGTGGCCGCCATTAAAGCGAAGGGAAAACCCGTGAATTCGGATTAAAGGGGGAAAAACACCGCCCGCTGGGCCCACAAAATGGGGGAGACTACGGCGTCCAGGCGGTGAGGCGGCCGGCGAGCAGACGTTAGGCAGGCTCGGCCCGGGGACCACACGAGGACGCAGCCGGAGAATGGACTGAGCCCCGAGACGCCGCCACCACCTCCGCCGCCGAGGAGACTCCGGGCTTAAGGACATCGCCGCTGCCGGGCCAGGGGGGCCCGGGCTGCTCCGCCGGTCCTCGCCCTTCCCGCCCCTCGGCGGGCGCCCCCGGGCCGGGGAGAAGCCTCCGGGTCTCCAGGGCTCGGCCCGCCCGGACTCGGGCTCTGACTGTTGATCGTGTAACTGGTTTTTTTGTTGTTGTTTTGGGTTTTTTCTTTTCTTTTTAATCTTTTTTCTCCCTCCTTCTTCTTCTTCCCTCTGGTGGAAGGGACGCACATCCCTTCCCCTCCTCTCCGGAGAGGGACGCGCGTCCGCGGGCTCCGCA